ATACTCCTTTTTGGTAATCTCTCCCTGTTTCCACTTTTTATATGCTCCCCTTTTAGCCTGTAGGCTGCTCTGGATTTCTCTGGTCAGCCAGGGAAGCTTTCTGGCCCCTTTCCCTCTTTTTCCTCGCATCGGGATCGTCTCCCTCTGTGCCCGAAGGATCATTCCTTAAGGCACAGCCACCCTTCCTGGGCTCCCATGTCTTCAAAACTCCTACTCTGCAGTGCGTCCTTGACTAATCACCTGAGCTCACTGAAATCAGCTTTCCTAAAGTCTAGCACTTTCACCCTACTAGTTACCTTACCCACTCAACGTCTTATGATGAATTCTATTATTTGGTGATCACTGTCCCCCAGGTGACCACCGATCTGTAGGTCCCCTACCATGTCATTCCCCGTTGCCAATACTAGGTCCAGTAAGGCATTCCCCCTAGTGGGACCATGTACCTCCTGTGTCAGGTGGAGGTCCTGTACACAGGATAGGAACCTGCGTGAACGGTGGGACTTTGCTGTCTGCGTCTCCCAGCAGATGTCCGGGTAGTTTAGGTCCCCCATGACTACCACCTCCTTAGTTTTTATGGTCTCTGAGAGCTGCCTCAGGAGCCCCAAATCTAGCTCTTCCCCTTGGTGTGGGGGTCTGTAGCAGACCCCTACCACCAAATCCCTTTCTCCTTGACCACCATGTAACCTAACCCACAATCCTTCTACTTTCTCCTCCTTTGATTCTGTCTTGATAAGGGTCGATGTATATTGCTCATTGACATAGAGCGCCACCCCTCCCCCTCTCTTCCCCACCCTGTCCTTGCTGTACAGTTTATAACCCTCAATATGTACCGCCCAGTCGTGGGAAGAATCCCACCAGGTTTCTGCTAGCCCTACTAAGTCGTAGGTGTTTTCTGCAAGCAGGAGTGCTAGTTCATCCTGCTTGCTCCCCATGCTCCTAGTATTAGTATATAGGCACTTGAGCCCTGTGACTGGCTCCTTTGTTGCCCCCCGGCTCTGATGCCCAAAGGGCCCCTTATTCTTTACCTGCTTATTGCTTACCTGTGCTGTATTGCTGTCTGCCCCATGGATTGCAGGTTCCTGATGTTCTCCTTCTTCAGGCTGGGCTGTCCTTGTGGGTGCCACATGGTTTGGTGGTCCACAGCTTCCCCCACCCTCATCTTCCCCTCTCCCTGACGAGCCTAGTTTAAAGCCCGCCGGAGGAGATCCGCCAACCTAGAAGAGAACACACGCTTACCTTTGGGGGACAGGTGAAGCACATCCCAACTGAGCATGTCCCTCGTCGTGATGTGCGGGTCATTGTCAAGGAAGCCGAAGCCTGACTCGAGACACCATTGCCGAAGCCGCCAGTTGGTCTCTCTAATGCAGTTCTCGTGTCGTCTTCCATGTCTGCTCACTGGTAGGACAGAAGAGAATACCACCTGTGCACCGATCTCCCTCAGCACGCCGCCCAGAGCATGGTAGTCTGTCATCAGGTGATCGGGGCTTCTCCTGGCCGCATCATTAGTACCCACATGGACAAGGACCATGGGGTAGTATTCGGTGGGCTGAATCCTGGCCTGGATTATTCCCATCACGTCCCGAATCTTTGCTTCGGACAGGCAGTATATCTCTCGTGTTGAGGGGTCCTGGCGACAAATGGGCCCTTCCGTACCTCTCAGGATGGAGTCGCCTATGACGATCACTTGACGCCGCCTCCTCTGGGTCCTCTTGGTTCTCTTGACCTGTTCGAAGTGTGGCATCTGAATAGGATAGGTGCTCTGAATGGTGTTGGCATCTGAATAGGATTGCTCCCATGTGAAAGGATACTTCTTTATTGCTCATAAAAAGTCCATTTTCCTTTTCTGTAATAAAAGCAAAAGGGAAAAAACCTCATGCAACTAGAAATATGGTC